AATATTTTCAGTATTTCAATATCAGTCTCTGATAAGATCACTAACTATAAGTGTTTTCAAACGAACAACATAAACATATTTGTTATGCAACATTCACTTCAATATGTGTTTACCGTTTCATATAATCGCTATCAGCAATAGTAATGATGCTGAATTATTTAAGAGCAATTCGATGGGTACATGCTTATAGTCAATGCGGTTTTGCCATGCGAGTAATCATTCAAGAGCAATGTTTGCTGCTACAATATATGGTTACTAAGTTTACTTACTGGTAATAATGCCTTTTTCGGCATCACATAGATACCTTATCAGTAATATATTAACTATACTGTTTACTTTCATTACTATACCATATAGTTAAGAGGTAAAAGGACAAAAATGTACTGGCGTCAGTGTGAACGAGCTCAAGAAAGGAGTCATTAAAAGTGGGATGATGCAATCTGATAAACATCCAGAAAACGATAATACATCTATAAAAGCTGAAGTAACGGTTCGAAATGTCAATACACGTCTCGTAGTTGATTCGTTCGGTTTTGAGGTTGTTTTCGGTAATTTCTTCACTTCTGATGATTGTGTCTTTGACTTAGTACCTAAATTATCTGTCATATTCCCTTTTTGAAGGAGACACTGACAATTTACACTGAAATAACGCATCATTGAGATTTTAATTGGTTCATATTGGCTCATCATCTTTTATTCTTGTAATCTTGTAGATCAATTCTGCCTAAACAAGATCACCAATCCAGCAATAATTCGATCTTCAGGTCGTGCAATTTCGAGAGTTTGACAGCGATGTTCCACTACGCATTGGTTCTTTCCGCATTCATATCTGTTAGCTTGGCTGTGCCGATAATCCCGAATCTACAACTCGAACACACCTTGCAAACTCTGCAAAAATCTAGCCAATGTGCCTTCCCGAACGACACCGACACATCGCTCCATGCGTTCAACTGCGATGGATCTCGTAAAATCGCAATCAAATCAGTTAAAGTATTGAACGCAAACAACGAGCCAATGTATCCGATCAGTCTGAAGGAAAAAATCACTCTTGTGTTCCAAGCTGAGAATCACGGAGATGTGGTAATGGAATCATATCAATGTTCACTAACCTTGCTTTTTAATGCAGTATCCAGTTTCGAGTGTCATACGTGATTGATAACTTTTTGAGTGATGTCAATACTCGATACTCAAATAAGCAATACTTGTTTTGCATTCAATTACATATCGAGTATCTTATCAATTCGCACATTCCAGTACGTCGCTCAAACAGTGAATATCGTAGTGAAGAAGTACCAGAAGAAGCGATTCGGATCCGGATGCGCTTGGAAAGAGATCTCAACGTATGGTCTCTTGTAAGTTCTCAGTGATATTTAAATTCTCAGCGATATATGTATACAACAGATACCATCCATTGTAATGTATCCACTTTTCGTTTCTCAGCAAAAATACCCATTTGAACGACGAATGCTGATTCAGGAATAGCATGAACGGCTGTCTTGCGAAAAATTGCCCGATACAGAAGGGTCAGCTCGAACTGCATATACCACTCGATCTTACCGCTTGGAGTGGTTTGATCAGCATGCTGGCCATCGACGTTAGACAACATATTTCATTTGTTCTCAACTGCAAACTGCAACATTCAC